GGGGTTGTGGGCAGGGAGAGGGGGGTTGTGGGCAGGGAGAGGGGGGTTGTGGGCAGGGAGAGGGGGGTTGTGGGCAGGGAGAGGGGGGTATATAAGGGTTGCAGGAAGAATACAAGGTGACTCTTGAGTCGACTCAAAAGGGTTGCAGGAATAATAGAGGGCATTTGCGTGCAAATTATTACGGTTTACAATCTTTAAATAAAGAGTTGTTTTTGAGTCAACTAAAAAACGGTTATGCATAGCAGAAAGTAGCGAGTGGATCTACTGGTGGGCGCCGGGTCAGCCTCAACTGCTGCTGACTCGTGTTCACACAGAGCCAAGTCAGGCTGATGTGTTGCTGAGACAGCCTTGACTGCTGCTGAGTCAGCCTCACCTGTTGTTGATCGGGCATAAGCGGACCTTCCAACGCCTTTTGCATCAACTGAAACTCCACACTCCCTCCTCCCTCCACACCCTCCCCTTCCTCTCCCGCTCCCCTTCCTCCTCCCTCTCTCTCCCCCTCGGCCCCCATGCCGTCCCCACCTCCACGCATCACACCCTCTCCCTCTGCACTTCCCCTTCCTCCTCCAGCTCCCCAGCCCCGTCTCCTTCTCTGCGCCCCTCTGCGTGACCCACCCCTGTCCCAGTGCTCATGCCTGAACCAGGCCTGTCCGCAGGAGACTCTCCTTGGCTTCGCTGGCTCGCATAAGAGCCTCCTGATGCTGCTGCTGCTGCTGCTGAAGGCGCTGCTGGCGTTGCTGCTATCTCTGCTTCCTCTGTTGGAAAATTTGCCACTATCCCATCCATCTGGCACAAAGAGAGGGAAAACAAGAGATTGAAAAAAAAAGAAAAAAAAGAAAAAAAAAAAACGCACACATAATGTGAACAAAAATCTGCACAAACCAACACACCACACCACATCACACCGCACCACATCACATCCGACTAACTGGCAACTCAGACACAGGTCGAGCACAGTGGCATTATTATTATTATTATTATTTATTATTATTATTATTATTATTATTATTATTATTATTATTATTATTATTATTATTATTATTATTATTATTATTATTATTATTATTATTATTATTATTATTATTATTATTATTATTATTATTATTATTTATTATTATTATTTTCTCAAACCTGATTTAAGCATAACACAGGGGCAACAGATTATATACAGTTACGCAAAAACGGGCATCTCATTTCTCGTACTTACCGTACCTTGCCTTTACCGTACCTCGCCTTCACCGTACCTCGCCTTTACAGTACCTCGCCTTCACCGTACCTCACCATTACCTTACCTCGCCTGGCTGCGGCGGCAGCAGGGGCGGCAACGGTCGAATCCAAGGAGGTTCAAACCCTCCCATTCCTCCCAGTTGCAGCAGCTGAATGCACGACGCTACAGATACTGCCGATGCTATCAATGCTGCCGATGCTGCTGTCCCATGCCCAGGGCTCTTGCCTCTTTTATCCTCCTCAAACTGTTTTGTCCCCAGAGCTGCCAGCTCTGCTTGCACTCCTGCTTGCTGTGCTCCTGCCTGTGCTGCCTGTGCTGCCTGTGCTTGCATGCACTCAGCAACAGCGCGTTCGGAGCACTTGAGAATGCGTGGTACTGCTGCTGTTCTGAACGCATTGCTACCTCCGGGGCCAGTGGGAAGCGAGTTAGAGCAGCTGCTGATGATGAAGTGAAGGTGGGAGTAGTAGCGTTGAAAGCAGAGGTTGTGGCAGAGCGTGAGGAGGGAGAGGGGATGATGTCAGGATGTGCCTTGTAAATGGCCTCACGTGAAGGGAGCTGCAGAAGGGACGGGGAAGTAGTGGCACATAGTATGTGAAGTGAATCTTAAAGCCAGAATAAGAGTCTGTTACCGAACATTCAGGCTTATGTTCAGCTTAAAGGCTCAGCCGTTAGGCTCAGGTTTGAAGGTTCATGGTAAATGTTCGGGGCTACGATGAAGCTCGAACAAGGGGATAACGAGACTACAGCAGTGATACCTGCCCGGAAACAAACAATCACAGACAAACAGTCGCAACATGCCATGCAAATCAGCCTTAGACATGATCACTGCTGCACTCCCACTCCCACCCACACAGCCAGACCACAAGCCTCTCTTTTCACAACAAGCACACAGGTGCCTGTATCGCCACTCATTTGTTTTTGAATTTGGATTTCGCGATGGCTACCGAGCACGAGCAGGTGTAGGCCAATAGGTAAGAGTATGTTGTGGGATATGCCATAAGCCAAATCAATATCGCCTGTATCAAACCCAATGAGCCAACTCGAAGCCATCTCTCACCCTTCGTAGTTGTTGATCGTAGCCGTGGCAGTGACATACTGCCGATAAGTCGATGTTTTAGTCGACTTAAAAATCGCTGTATCAAACCCACGAGCCAACTCAAAGTCATCTCACCCTCAGACGTCATTGATCACAGCTGTGGCAGTGACATACTGCCAATTACCCGCGTCCGGCCTCACCCACACCGCCAGCTCATCAGCTTGACCCACCTGGCCAGCCATAGCTCATAGCTCATAGGTTCGTACGCCAGCACACAAGCTCACAAGTGCATGTATCACACTCACTTGTTAATCTTCACTGTTGCAGTGCCAGCCCGCCTGCCAGGCATCCGACACACTCATACTCACACTCACACCCCACACACACGCACACTCACTTTGAGGCGCCTCAAAACCTGCCTGCCACGCATCTGACACAATCATACTCACACTCACACCCCACACACGCGCACACTCTTTCTCCCTCACTTCATTACCCACCTGGTTGGGCGGTTTTGAAGTGCTGCGCATAGTCCCGAGCTGACTTGCTGGGAACCTGAGATTGTAGAGTGGGCGATTGGGGTAATGAGAGTGGTTGAGTGAAAATGGCAGAAATAAATAGTTCAATATACAAAGAGGAAGTATAAGAAGGCACGCAGAAAAAACATACGACAGAAGCAAGGTGGGAGGGACGGGTGGGTGGAAGGGAGGGTAGCGTTAGGGAGTGGCGAGGAAGGGTGTTGTAAGTCGCTTCAAAAGACATGTCTAGCAGACATCCTGGCGCCTGTTTTTGAGTCGACTCAAAAACTGGCACACGCAAGGGCATGACCCAAACTAAATCTCTCATGGAAACTCTCAAAAGTGATTTCAAGTTTTGAGACGCCTCAAAAATCAAGAATGATTCCGCATCTTACCACACACACAAAGGAAAACGTGAGAGAACGCATTGCCGTTGCTCTCATTGCCCTGCAACAAAACGCATTGCACAGAACGAGGTGGGGCAATGAGGGCAACGGCAAGGAGGCTGGTCAACGGTAGGGGCACTCACATCCGCCAGAGAGTGTGAGAGCAGGTTGAGCGCGAAACAGCGCTCTATGGCCGGCAGAGATGCCTCTGATGCCACCTGAGGGGTTGGATACAATAATAAGGGGGTGCTTCCGAGACGAAGTGAGTTTCGATGCCACACAGAATGCCACCTGAGTGGGGTGGAGAGTGCGAGAGCAGGTGAGCCAACACAGCGCTCTATGGCCAGCAGGGATGCCTTGGATGCCACCTGTGGAATTGGAGGAAAACAAGGGGGCGCTTTTAACATGTGATTGTCTCATGCTTTGTAAGCAGTTACATATGAGCAATTTGCAAGATGAGCAATGTGAGAGAAACAACTGCAGGAGGTAGAGGTGGAGGCGTAGAGTCTCCTGTGCAGCAGCCAGGGGGGAAAATCACTTTTGAGTTTTCTCAACACAACAGAGTTTAGTCTCGAGTTCAGCAGCCGGGAAGAGGGGAAGGGGTGTTTCCTCAACAGCTTGCTGTGGCAAAACACGGCTGTCGCTTCATTGGTGGAGGGAGTGGCCTTACGTCCAGCAGCAGGGGAGCAAAGGGGTGGACCCTCAACGGCTCGTAAAAGAGAAAACAGCGTTTGCACCCAGCTGTTTTGAGACGTCTCAAAACAGCGTTTGCACCCAGGCACACGGTTGCTGAAGGTGAGGCGTGGAGTCGCACGTGTGAAGCAGCATCGTAGCAAAGAAAGGGTGGTCCTTTAACGGTTCGTTGTGAAAGGAGTGATGCAGCAGGAGCAGCGAGATGAGCAATCAGAGGGAAACAGCAGGAGATAGCGATGCGGGGGAAAGGAAAATAACTCACGTCCAGCAGCAGGGGTGCAAAGGGGTGGTCCTTTAACGGTTCGTTGTGAAAGGAGTGATCCAGTAAGAACAGCGAGATGAGCCGCTGAGTTCCCTTCAACGCTATTCCATCCTGTACAGTCACGTTCGAGAGTTAGGGGGGTTACTGATAAGTAAACTCCACAGATTACAAGCAGGCATTACAAGGGAGTTGGCTGATCTCGACCAATTCCCAGGAGCATGGCGAGAGCGCAGTCGGCGGGTGAAACAACGGCCGGAGGGATAAGCGCAGGTATTAAAAAAAAAAAAAAGAGGAGCGCTATGAACGAGACGGTTACGACTCGAAGCGCGTCAGTAGACCCACCTCCAGGAGCATGGAGAGGGCGCAGCAGGCGGGTGATGAAGCGGCGGATGGGAGGAAAAGCGCGGGAAAAGGCATCAGCGTTGGATTTGAAGGACCTGTCTTCTGCCAGCACGGAAAGAAGCGCTGCTGACTCAGCACCGGATAGCATGGCGGCGATACCGAGGATGGTGCAGGGAAGGCTCTGTACAAATCAGTAAAAAAAATCACACGAACTGCTATATCGACCAAAGGTTGAAGTGATTATGAGAAGTCGGATAAAATGGGATGAGTACGAGCTTGACGACTACTGCTGGTTTCGTGGGGGGAAGCTTGAAAGAATGAACTAGGTTGTCAGAAAGCGAATCTGCCTAGCTTGCTAGTTCCACAGGAAAGCAAGCAGCACTAACCGTTCGAGGGAGTATTGTGGATCGAGGTTGCCTCCAATTGTCGTTCGTCAGATTGCAGTTAATCCGCGAAAGTTTGGCTATCTGGAACTTTGGAACGACATCATGTTGCAATCGGACATGAAACATGACTAATAGATGATACCGGACCCGACCATAAAATGCGCACCTGCAGACAACCGAGTCCAGCCCTGCTCTTGTTCTTCTGATTGACAACACCGCAAAAAAGATAAGCATTGACCTTTGGAAATCCTCCTTATGAAGCACCGAGGACACTCCCAGAGAACTCGTACAGTTCTTGTAAGGGTTTGTCCGCCGCTTTTCGCGCAGCCCTTGCCAAAAACGAGATGAGAGGCTTGAGAGGATGAACAAAATTATTGGTGCGGCTCGATGTCGGGGCGCTTCGTCGATTGGGTTATTGCTTGATTTTCATCACATCCCATTGTTCTACCACTTCCACCATCCTACAATAATTGTGCCTGGAATCCCAATCACAAACAATCTCAGAATAAATAGACATGAAAGTCTTCAAGCGGCCACTTGATATGCTTCTAACGTCGCGCCTCCCACACGAACTGCTGACGCTAATTCAGAAACAAGCAACGCGGCAACACCTCGAATCAGTGTGTCTCGTCTCAGCGCTGTCCTTACAAGTAGGCAGCTTGAACCGCTATCGAACACACTCGTACACAGCCTTCACGCCTGCCGTTTTGCTTAGCTCAAGTCCTCTGCAGAACGGCACCGCGTCTATCCGAACAACGTACGCTCATTGGAAGCTTGGAGTCGCCTCAAAGATCGTGCACTGACATCGTTCTTAGGCTAAGAGGATCTCGTTGCTGCACCAGATTTGCACCAAACATGGCTTTAACACCAGTTCGTCGTACTCTGCATCCCCGGCGTCTGCCTTGGTTCGCCATCGGTTTCTGCCTTGCGATTACCTCCGCGGGTCTTCCGCTCGTTGCAGTGGGTAGCGAAACATACGCTATGCAAGCTAGAGCGAGGGTCGATGCAAAGGATGACGTCGCAGCTTTCTTTACCAAAACAAGTCAACCAGGTCAGCCTGAGAAATCCGTACGGCCAGACGCCAGTTTTCTCCACAGCATTGGTCCGAACGAAGACGTGACACAGCCAGAGGGACGAAGTCACAATGAAGTCGTGATCAAGTCTCGATCTGGCATCTTTCGGCGCCGCGATGTGCGGCCACCTACAGGCGATGAAGACGGAGACGAAATGGACGGTTGGGATGTTCGGAACGGCACACAAGCTCGCCGGGTGAGTTTCAGCCACTAATTGTCCACCTGGTGTGACTCTCGAATCAATCCGAGGTCTTATAAGTTTCGAACACTGACGCTTTCATTACTGGTTACATCATGACACGCAGCGACGATCGAACCCACTGGTTACGTTGAGATCGAAAACCCTCGCGTCTCAATAGCTGCATTGCTCGCGTCCCCTTACAGTCTGATCAATTTGTTGCCATTCCTTCTCTCCATTGCATAGATCTCCCTTCCGTCTCCCCCCCTTCCTACGCGTGATATACAGGCGATGTTGAAAGGAAGCAGCAGCAGCAGCAGCAGCAGCAGCAGCAGCAGCAGCAGCAGCAGCAGTAGTGGCAAGAGCAGCGGGGAGCGGCAAAAGTGCCACTTTTGGTGGAAAAAGCGGTGGTGGGAAAAGCGGCGGCGGCAAAAGCGGAGGCAGCAGAAGCGGCGGAAGCGGTGGAAGCGGTTAAAAGCGGCGGCGGGGTGAGCAGAGTAGCTTGGGGAAGGACGTATTACAGGGCACGAACCAACAATGATGACGATGACGAGTGCGACGGTCTTTTCAACAGTTACTCAAACTGCGTGACGGCGGGGACGTGTGACAACAAATTGGAGAGTTGTGTGTCGAGTGGCGGTGTTACATGCGAAAATGACTTCGCAGATTGCTTGAAGAAAAACGAGCCAGCCTGCGAAAACTTTTACTCTAAATATAACGACTGCGTTTACAACGCTGGCGAGAGGCTCGGCGTATCGCTGAGGCTTGTATGGATGCTGACTGTAGCGGCTGTGCTCGCACTTGTGCTCTGAATGCGGCTTAGAAGCTCCCCCGGTCCCGAAGTGCCTCTATGTTCAGTGTCCATCCACATGCTTCTCCTCTCATTATATGTATAGTCATCCACATTGAACACATGGAACCAACAATGCAACACTGATACCCAACTCAACAGTACAGTGCAACCATGTGTGATGGTAATAACGAATCAGCCACTGAAGCAATCACAGCAACATAGATCTCGCTTCCCCCAAGTGTCGCAAGCTTATTGGACGGCATGAAATCGTCTGCTGATACCATGTGGACACATGTGAGCCCCCATGGCTGCATGAGGAGATGCAGAGAGGCATGCGTGCTGCATGGGGGATGGTAGGTAGGAAGGAATCAGTAGGGAGGGTTTAGGGTTGAATAAAGAGACTCCGTGATGCACGTCAGGCCCCATGACTGCAAGAGGAGATGCAGAGAGGCATGCATGCTGCATGGGGGATGGGGGGTTGGAAGGGAAGGGGGGGAGGGGTTGGGCGGCAGGAGAACACGAGATGAGAGCATGAGAGCGTGAGAGCATGAGTGCATCAGCATGTGAAGGTCAAATGGGAGCATGAGTGCATCCTACTAGCGTGCTTGATAGGCCAAGGGATGCGAAATCAATCCTACCTGCGTGCTTGATAGGCCAAGGGATGTGAACTCAATCCTACCTGCGTGCTTGATAGGCCAAGGGATGTGAACTCAATCCTACCTGCGTGCTTGATAGGCTGTGATGAAGACCGAGCCTCGCTTCAACCCGAGGAGGAGATGCACCGTGGAGAGAAGTGGGTCAAAGGCTGCAGTACCTAGTCGCTGCCCTGCGCCATACCAGGCAACTTCCTCCCATGCTTCCCTGCAGTGGGATGACATGGCAGGCGACAGTTGCAGGGAGAGAGGGAGAGGGACAGTTGTCACCGTGGAGAGAGGGAGTGAAAGGTTAAGAGGAGAGGGAGAGATGTGAAGGAATCTTTGAGTTGACTAAAACGCCGAGGAGAAGATGCACCGTGGAGAGGAGCGGGTCAACTTTTTAGTCGACTCAAAAGAAGTCTGGTTTTGAGTCAACTCAAAAGAAGATGCACCGTGGAGAGGAGCGGGTCTAGGACTGCAGGAGGACCGGGAGAGTGAGATAGTCAAGACTCATGAGATTCACCAAAGCAACCATCCGACGCAACGACCAGAATGATGCAACATGCATGAAGCACATCTGAAACACACCTGAAACACACCTGATTCACACCTGAAGCACACCTGAAGCATCATAGAGCACGTCTGCTCCTATGATGACGTCAGCAGGGGGCAGCTGTAAAACTTCGTGAGACACGTCGCCCCAAGTGAGTGGCACCACGCTCACACCCCCACCAGGCGTTGAGGACAAATCTTCATACCCAGATACCCCAGATTCCCCAACATTCCGAGATTTCTCATATTCCTCAGGCTTCCTAAATTCTCCTTTTGATGCCGGGCAGCCCTCCACCTCCACTCCACTACAGGAAAGACCGTTAAGTTCTGCTGATTGAAGCAGACTGGAAAGAACCTGAGACAACGAGAGGAAATGCAACAGATGGGAGAGGAAATCGGAAGGGGATTGGGGTGTAGACGAGAAACAGGAAGGAGTGTTTAGAAGAAGCAGCTGATCTGAGTCTGGGAGTGGATAAAGAAGCAGCTAGTATGGGTTTGGGAGTTAGCAGCTGACCTGGGTCTGCGAGTGGGCGTCTGTGAGGGTTACGTGCGCGCCAAGCTTGGCACAGAGGAGCCCACACAGGCCTGTTCCCGGCCCTTGTGTTCAAAAGAAGCAGGAAGGAGAGTATAGAAGAAGCAGCTTACCTGAGTCTGAGAGTGGGCGTCTGTGAGGGTTACGTGCGCGCCAAGCTGGGCACAGAGAATCCCACACAGGCCTGTTTCCCGCCCATAGTGGTCAAAAGAAGCAGGAAGGAGAGTATAGAAGAAGCAGCTTACCTGAGTCTGAGAGTGGGCGTCTGTGAGGGTTACGTGCGCGCCGAGCTTGGCACAGAGAATCCCACACAGGCCTGTTCCCGCCCATAGTGGTCAAAAGAAGCAGGAAGGAGAGTAAAGAAGAAGCAGATTACCTGAGTCTGAGAGTGGGCGTCTGTGAGGGTTACGTGCGCGCCAATCTTGGCACAGAGAATCCCACACAGGCCTGTTCCCGCCCCTAGCTGCCATGCAATCACGAATGAATCATGCACGAACCGCAGAACGAAAATAGATCAGTAGACCAGCAGCAGCAGGTGGGACGAAGGGTGAGGGAGTAGGAGAATGAATTAAACCCATTCCCGCTCACTCACATGGAAACCTGAAACTCTTGCCGTCACGAAAAAAGCATTCTCCGACATAAATGCATAAACATATCGTAAGTATATAAGTACATGTACATCATAAGTACATGTAAAATCTTTCTATCACATACGGACCTCTATAACGCGCTTCCCCTTAATCAGCTCCAGCTGCTGCCACAGGTATTCCGCCAGGACCACTGCTGACGGCCACGTGTGCAGCCCCACGTGCTGCCCCGGGTGCTGCAGGGGGGGGGAGATAGAGGCGAAAGGTGAAGGGAAAAGGGAGCACGAGGGCATGGGGGGGGGGGGGGGGGGGGGGGGGGGGATGAAGGTACTCCGCCAACAAGGTACTTTGCCAACCCCACTGCTGACGGCCACGTGTGCAGCCCCACGTGCTAAACCAGGTGCTGGGAGGAGGGTGGGGGATGGAGGGAGAGGGTAAGAGGGGGGGACTCAAGCATTACTGGTCCTGACGGCCACGTGTGCAGCCCCACGTGCTGACCCAGATGCTGGGGGGAGGGTGGGGGAACGGTGTTGAGAGAGGGAGAGGGTAAGTGGGGGGCCTCGAGCATGATTAATTTCCAGCATACAGCCAATTACACACTAAAAATCACTCTTCAGTAGGTCCATTTTGAGCTACAACATAGTAAGTCAATTTAACGCAATTTACATTGTGGATTGGACTATATCTTATCTAATCATTTAACTGAATAAACTTTCGATTGTCGCGTATAGTCTCTACGGATCCCCTTCTTGCTTGTTGCTCCTTGCATCTTCTCTGCTGACGGCCACGTGTGCAGCCTTGAGTGAGAGGAACTTGTGGAACCAATTCGAAGAAGTGAATATCCTACCTAGACTGAGATGTCGCGTACTCGTGGAACCCTTATTAACACCCCATCATTTGTAGCAATTGCCGTAACACACGTACCCTAAAACGACACTCAAAACGTAACAATCTAATTTTCATACCTCCACGACTGACACTCGCAGGGACTCGCTCCTGCTGTGAGTTATAACGCTGCTGCTCCCCCGGGTCTTTTCGCTGCTTGCGTAACTGACTCGTCTTTTTCGCGTATCGGAATCTGTGCGATCGTCGCGGCTGTCGCAAGAGGTGCTGCGAATGTCGCCGGATTTGCTGCGACTCCTGTTCGTCGGACTCAAATCGCTATCAGAATCGACGGTATGAAAAGAGTATACACGGACGGTGGACATAGAACCTAGTGGCCTCGTGCAAAAGCGCTTCGCTTCCTGCGCAAATTACTGGGGCCCCGTGTCGCATCGCATGTGATAGGAGAGAATCAGGCGATTTCAAGAATTTCCCCCCACGTTTTCAGCAGTCCACACGGCATGCACCAGGAATTCGAGATATTGCGGTATCTAACGATTTGGTATGTTGAGAAACGGTTGAGAATGTTTCTGATAAAAAAAAAGCGGTGGAGACATGTTCAAGTGTGGTGCATTTTCCGTCAAAGCACATCACCATCACCAAACAGCGTCTCTGAGATGGGTCGAAAACACTATGCAGGAATACCGAGAGGTACTGCGGCTTCCAGTGTGTTGAAATCAAGAAGGCAGCTTTTACGACACCACATTTTATGTACAGAACCTGATTTTTATGTTGCTGATTCTTTACCCTGGCTCCCTCCTTATAAACATAACAAATGCTCTCACGCAATCCATCACTAAAAAAGAATATATGGGCGCCAAAATAATATTTTCCTACTACATAAATGAGGGGAGGATGAAGCCAGGGCCAACCCATCAGTCAGAGGGGCGATACAGCCTGTTCTTCTGCTTCTGCAGCTCTCCCCGCAGAAAGAAATAATGTGCCTTCACTGCCTGGAGCATCTGAGCGCGCGTGTCCGGAATAGTGAGGTGGTTTCTCCTAAAATACAGAAGCACCTCGTGCATCGATAGCTTATCGAGCATATCCTCCACCACCACCCGCTCCCAGTCAATGCTATCATACTCATCCTCACTCTCCCCAGGCAAATACCCCCCTCTTGCCCCCCCTCCACCTCCACTCCCTCCCCCCACTCCTCTCTCCCCCACTTTTCCTCCCGCTCCTCGTCCCCCTCCTGCCCCTGCTGCTTCCAATCCCCCTCTCCCCTTGCCGCTCTTTCCATCTCCCACGGTAGTACCATCGATGCGGGACCCAGAGGAGGAGCGCATGCGGCGCTGCTCTGCCTGCATCTGGAACTGCAGCCGCACGCTCTTCTTCAGCTCCTCCCGCACCACCAGTTGCCACTTGAGAAACTCCCGCCACCGCTGCTCCCTGCGGGAATTCAAGGCCAGCTGCTGGCTCGTCCACTCTGGATTGGACAAGAGAAGGGATGACAGGCGGTGGAGGGGAAAGGGGTCAAGTATCTTCTTTCAGGGCAGGTGGGGGGTGCGAGAGAGGGGAAGGAGAGGAGCGCATGCGGCGCTGCTCTGCCTGCATCTGGAACTGCAGCCGCATGCTCTTTTTCAGCTCCTCCCGCACCACCACCAGCTGCCACTTTAGAAACTCCCGCCAATGCTGCCCCCTGCCGGAATTTAGGGCCAGCTGCTGACTCGTCCACTCTGAGAAGTGTGATAGGTGTGAGGAGGGAGGGAGGACGGGCAGGTGGTGGTTGATAGGAGGGGAGGGGGCAGGAAGTCCCATGATAGCGCACGTGATAAAAGTGTTGCTTTGGGACGTCTCAAAAGTCCCACGAGAGAGGTGACTTTTGAGTCGACTCAAAAGTCACCTCGTGATAAAAGTGTTGCTTTGGGACGTCTCAAAAGTCCCACGAGAGGAGGGGAGGGGGGCAGGGAGACCCATGAGAGGGCACAAAGTCGAGTTGAGACATAGGCTGGGCGGGTCGTGGCGGAAGCTGAGAATGATATGCCTAGGGGAACAGCATACGGCTTTAACAACAGATTTAGAGCACATGCACATGCACCTCGTAATACCCTACCAACCTCCACCACACCCACAAGCACCCGACTGCACCGCACTCAACCTGTTCTCTGGCTGAGCTCGTCCACTGAGATTCTCATGCACATGCTGCATCGCTGGACGGACCTCCGACAGTCTGAGATGGAGGGAGGGAGGGAGGGAGGGAGGGAGGGAGGGAGGGAGGGAGGGAGGGAGGGAGGGAGGGAGGGAGGGAGGGAGGGAGGGAGGGAGGGAGGGAGGGAGGGAGGGAGGGAGGGAGGGAGGGAGGGAGGGAGGAGGAGAGAGTGAGGGAGGAGAGGGAAGCATGCCCATGCACATCACATCTGCACATCATGCACAACACAAAAAACTTGTGAATATTGCTATGTCTCAGAAGTACTCATTCCTTATCGCCCCCTCTACCCCTTTTCTGTCCCCTCTCCCCGTATATTTGATAACCACTCACCATAGAGACACGGGTCAGCGATCCACATAAGCTCAGCATCGGCAATCTCAATGCTTTGAACGAACTCCCGGTCGAGCTGCTCGCTTGTCACGTGTGCCGGCATGTGCTCGTCGCGGTTGTAGTAGTGGTGCCTTACGCCGTGCCTCTCGCTTAGGAATAGGCCGTACAGGTCTATGTGGTGGCACTTCTGTGGATCGGAAAGACAAAGAGGAAAAAAAAAAAAAAGAGGTTTGAGACGTATCAAAACACATATTTAATTATGTGGTCCATGTGGTGGCACTTCTGTGGATTGGAAGGACAAAGAGGAAAAAGAAAAAGAGTTATGAGACGTCTCAAAACACTTCTTCAATCACGTGGTCTATGTGGTGGCACTTCTGTGGATTGGAAAGACAAAAAGGAAAAGGAAAAAAGAGGACAAAGAAAAGAGGGGAGAGAACTGTGAGAGGCAAAACAGGAAGCATCTGCCTGTTACGATAAGCACCGGTGCGTCACGCGGTGCCTCTCACTTAGGAACAGGCCGTAAATATAACAATGTGATGGCAACTCTTTCGGATGGAACAGCTATTGCGGCAGAATAAGTACTGCAATGCAAAGTAAGTAAGTACCCCAAAGCAAGCACCCCAGACCAAGTACTGCAAAGTAAGTACCCCAAAGCAAGCACCCCAGACCAAGTACTGCGAAGCAGTGCTGCAAAGTACCATTAGGTCTCCTCACACGGCACTTAAGTGCTGCAAAGTAAGAACCATTAGGTCTCCTCACACGGCACTTAAGTGCTGCAAAGTAAGAACCATTAGGTCTCCTCACACGGCACTTAAGTGCTACAAAGTAAGAACCATTAGGTCTCCTCACACGGCACTTAAGTGCTGCAAAGTAAGAACCATTAGGTCTCCTCACACGGCACTTAAGTGCTACAAAGTAAGAACCATTCGGTCTCCTCACACGGCACTTAAGTGCTGCAAAGTAAGAACCATTAGGTCTCCTCACACGGCACTTAAGTGCTGCAAAGTAAGAACCATTAGGTCTCCTCACACGGCACTTAAGTGCTGCAAAGTAAGTGCTGCAAAGTAAGTACCATTAGGTACCGCTTAAGTCAAGAAAGAGGCATCCTCACACGGAATCCTTACCTGCAAGGCGAATTGGATCCCCACGAATCCCACTGATGTGAAGGCGCCAAATGTGTTGAATACCTGCGGAGGAGGTAAGGGGAGACGCCATGGCAGCAGGGAAGGACATGAGGCACTTAAGATAATCAACTTGTGAATCACATCAAACCAGTATTCCCACATATCCCACGGATGTGAAGGCGCCAAAGGTGTTGAATACCTGCAATGGGGAGAGAGAGAGAGAGGGAGAGAGGAGAGACGGGGGTAGCAGCATGAAATTGGTTTGAGGTGACTCAATTGAATTTATCACATATACAAATAAAAAATAGCCTCCCTTATCCCACCGATGTGAATGCGCCAAAGGTATTGAATACCTGCGATGGGGAGGAGAGGGAGAGAGGCGATGGCAGCAGGGTTTTGAGGCGGCTTGAAAAGGACAAACGGTGCATATCGCAGGCATGGATCCCCACATATCCCACAGCACGTGCATTATAAGAACAGACGCACATCCATGCACTCTCTCTCTCTCTCTCTCTCTCTCTCTCTCTCTCTCTCTCTCTCTCTCTCTCTCTCTCTCTCTCTCTCTCACACACACACACACACACGCACACACGCACACACACACACACGCGCACACACACACACACACACACACGCTCTCACGCACACACGCACACACACACGCTCTCACGCACACGCACACACGCACCTGCGATTCAAACCCCATGCATGCAGCTCGTCCTTCACGTGATAAAAGTGATGTTTTGAGACTTGCAGCTCGTCCTTCACGGCCCTCAGGTGCACCACGCATGCTGCATGGCATAGAGGTGCACCATGCATGCTGCATGGCATAGAGGTGCACCACGCATGCTGCATGGCATAGAGGTGCACCACGCATGCTGCATGGCATAGAGGTGCACCACGCATGCTGCATGGCATAGTGCATGTAAACTCACACTCTTACACCTGGGACTCACTCGCAGTTGTACCTGTACCTGGGATTCGCACACCCACTACTGGGACTCGCAACGCAACAGCCTGGTCTTCCAACCCACACACCTGCGATTCAAACCCCAGGTCCAACACATAGAGTGACCCCTCCCTAAGGACCCGCCTGAAGTTAAGCAGATGCTGCAGCTCGTCCTTTACACCCCTCAGGTACAGGTGGTATACCAACTCAGTGTAGGGCACTGCACAGCACAGCACCGCACAGCACCACACAGTGACTCGCACGCACCTGCGATTCAAACCCCAGGTCCAGCACATAGAGCGGCCCCTCTCTGAAGACCCGCTTGAAGTTAAGCAGATGCTGCAGCTCGTCCTTCACTCCCCTCAGGTACAGGTGGTATACCACCGTCTCGTTGCCCTCCCTGAACCCTGCCTTGTCCGGTATGCTCAGGCGCAGCGTGGTTTTCTTCCCCACCTGACGCAGGGTAGATGAATGGGGGTTGGGGAAATGGATAAGGGGATTCAGGTACACGTGGTATACGAGCGTCTCGTCGCCCTCCCTGAACCCCGCTTTGTCCGGTATGCTCAGCTGAAGCGTTGTCTTCTTTCCCACCTGAGGTGGGGTAAATGGAAGGGAGGGGAGCAGGGGGGGGGGGGGGGGGGGGGGGGGGGGGGGGAGGGATGCAAGGGGATTCAGGTGCAGGTGATATACCACCGTCTCATTGCCCTGAACCCTGCTTTGTCCGGTATGCTCAGGCGAAGCATGGTCTTTCTTTCCGACTGAAAGTGGGGGAGGGGCAGTGGATACCCCCACTAGAAAAGATGAAAGAATGGTGGGCGGGAGGAATGGTGAATGGTGGGCGGGAGGAATGGTGAATGGTGGGTAGGAGGAATGGTGAATGGTGGGCGGGAGGAATGGTGAATGGTGGGTGGGAGGAATGGTGAATGGTGGGCGGGAGGAATGGTGAAGAGGCAGCAGTGGATATTGGTTAGTGCAAGGTGTTATCTTTTAGTCAACTCTGAAAAAGATGAAGGAATTGTGGGTGTTGCGTTACAGGGGGTGCTGCGTTACAGGGGGTGCTGCGTTACAGGGGGTGCTGCGTTACAGGGGGTGCTGCGTTACAGGCGGTGCTGCGTTACAGGGGGTGCTGCGTTACAGGGGGTGCTGCGTTACAGGGCACACAGAAACATCATGCCAGTCAACGCCCTCAACTTCACTATTCCCAAATCCCTCAAATTAGTTGCACCCACCTGCTTCTCGTACCCCTTAGTGGGCGCTGTGTTAAAGCGCATAACCATGTCATGCTTGTCAATCTCCTCCCCGTCCTCCCTCAGCAGCACCGCACCCGAGTTACCCACCACTGCACACGTCTCCCACACCTGACAAGGAAATACAAGCACAACAAGAAAGAGGCATGTGTGATAAGTCGATTTTTTAGTCGACTCAAAAATCGACTTATCAGCAGCGCACCCGAGTTGCCCATCACTGCACATGTCTCCTACACCTGATAAGGATATGCAAGCACAACAAGAAAGAGGCAAAGGAAGAGAAATTGGTTCAAGTATCAAAGTTTCTTCTGGTCTAGGGGACAAGAAGGGGAGACCCCCAGCAGGAGCGCACCCGAGTTGCCCACCACTGCACACGTCTCCAAGTCAACTCAACTCAGAGGTCCACTCACAGTCGTCTGATAAATGTCGGTCAAGGGTAGCACAGCCCTCAGCTGCTTCCTCTCTTCAATGGACAGCCCTTCCAGCAGCATGGCTGATCGTGTTGCAGACCCTGCCCCTCCCCCTCCGCTGCCCCCCTCCTCTCCTGCTGCTGGCGGCGGTGGTGGCATGACGGCCTGTGCTGTGAGCAGGTAGCTTCCCACGTAAGGGTCGACTGTCAGCTTGTCCGTGTTGCGCGTTTCCTGTAACGGAGAAACACACAGGAACAGGAGGATTGGGAAAGAAGGGCGAAGCAAGCTCCAGGGTATGAGGGCCTGTGCTGTGAGCAGGTAGCTTCCCACGTAAGGGTCGACTGTCAGCTTGTCCGTGTTGTGCGTTTCCTGTTAGCAGGAAAACACAGGAGGAGGAAAGAAAGGGCGGCGGTGGCGGCATGACGGCCTGTGCTGTGAGCAGGTAACTGCCAACGTAAGGGTCGACCGTAAGCTTGTCCGTGTTACGCGTTTCCTGTTAGCACGTTACCAGGCAACAGACGAGAACAAGAGAGTGGGGAGAAAAGGTTGAGGGTTGGTAAGTACAGGCAAGGCGGCATGAGGGCCTGCGCAGTGAGCAGGTAGCTGCCCTGCCCATGTAGGGGTCGAATGTGAGCTTGTCCGTGTTGCGTGTTTCCTATTGCAGAGAAACAAAAAGGGAAAGAGGAGGGTTGGCAGGGCAGGGCAGGGCAGGGCAGGGCAGGGCAGGATGCACAGCATGAGGGCCTGCGCAGTGAGCAGGTAGCTGCCTTGCCCACGTAAGGGTCGAATGTGAGCTTGTCCGTGTTGTGTGTTTCCTGTTACCATTCAACAGACGGGAACCAGAGGGTGGGGAAGAAAGGTTGATGGCTGGTAAGTAAAGGCCAGGCCGGCTAAAGAGCAGGGCATGAGGGCCTGTTTGACTAAGAATCAAATATCCTAACTTACAGATACCACTTACCTACGTCACTCACAGAAACACCCACCTCACAGTTATCGCCCCCATAGAGCACTGGGCCCAGGCACTTGCTGTCTGCATGCATGCAGATGCCGAATATTAAGTCGACTCAATAACCACTCACCCCACCTCACAGATACCATCTACCTCACAGATACCATCTACCTCACAGATACCATCTACCTCACAGATACCACCTACCTCACAGATACCACCCACCTCACAGATCCTACCCACCTCACAGTTATCGCCCCCGTAGAGCACAGCGCACAGGCACTTGCTGTCTGCCTGCAGAATGCCCCGGCCCAGACACGGGAGCTTGGTGGGGTCCACAGGTGGAGGCACCTCGATCACAGCTGGGAGCGAAAAGAGGGGACGCGGGAGAGAGAGGGAGAGAGAGAGGGAGAGAGAGAGGGGGGGGGGGGAGAGAAGCAGGGAGCATGGAGAGGGAGGGGGTGCAAGGGCATGCGATCGCAGCAAACGATGCATCCTGCAAGTTGGTTTTTGAGAATTCTCAAAAACCAACTGAGATAGCAAACGATGCATCCTGCAAGTTGGTTTTTGAGAATTCTCAAAAACCAACTGAGATAGCAAACGATGCATCCTGCACCGGCCCAGCAGCTTGGTGCTCCATTGTGTGCTTTGCTTCACAGCCCAGCACCACTCTACACCTGCTCGTGCCTACCTCCCACCACTCACATGCTCCCTTGTGTGCTCCCCTTCACAGCCCAGCACCACTCTACACCTGCTCGTGCCTACCTCCCACCACTCACATGCTCCCTTGTGTGCTCCACTTCACAGCCCAGCACCACTCTACACCTGCTCGTGCCTACCTCCCACCACTCACATGCTCCCTTGTGTGCTCCACTTCACAGCCCAGCACCACTCTACACCTGCTCGTGCCTACCTCCCACCACTCACATGCTCCCTTGTGTGCTTCGCTTCACAGCCCAGCACCACTCTACACCTGCTCGTGCCTACCTCCCACCACTCACATGCTCCCTTGTGTGCTCCCCTTCACAGCCCAGCACCACTCTACACCTGCTCGTGCCTACCTCCCACCACTCACATGCTCCCTTGTGTGCTCCCCTTCACAGCCCAGCACCACTCTACACCTGCTCGTGCCTACCTCCCACCACTCACATGCTCCCTTGTGTGCTCCCCTGAAGTCCACTTCCACTCCCGGCTTTGCCTTCTCCTCCTCGCGCACCTGACAGGTGGGACATCACAGGAACAACACGGAGGGAGGCAATTTTGCAAGTCATCACACAGAACAAACACTATTGAGTTGACTAAGAATCCACCCCTCAAGTCCACTTCCACTCCCTGCTTTGCCTTCTCCTCCTCTCGAGCTGACACGTAGCACATCAGAGGAACATGAATTTGAGGCGCCTAAAGAATACACTGTCCCTACCAGCTTTTCCTGCGACTCACCAGTACCCCCACACACCTGCTGCCCTCACACTTATCTGTGCCTAGAATCCAGAAGCCCCACCAACACACATAGGTTTTTCAGATCTGCGTTTTTTTCACTTGATTTTTCACTGTTGTTCCTTTGCTTAAGCGTCCATTCAGCTACTGTAGCCCTTCGAACATGAGTCATTGTGACCCTCGCACTTAGCTGTGCCTAGAATCCAGAAGCCCCACCAACACACACACCTGCTCCAGAGCAATCACTTCGGGCCGCAGCACAGGCAGATTATCCACAGGATCCCTCGAGTGTTCAGAAACTACCTTGCCAGTCACAAACACCCACAAGCTCCAGCAAACACACCTGCTCCAGAGCAATCACTTCGGGCCGCAGCACAGGCAGATTATCCACAGGGTCCTCCTCTGGCTCCTTCTTGGAAGCTGCGCCTCCCTTCCCAAACCCAAACCACTGAAACCCACCTCCAGCCGCGGCATTCCCGGTCGCACCCCCACCCTCCCCATTCCCCCCACTTCCCCCCCCAGTCCCTCCCCCGCCTGCTCCTCCTGCTCCCTCCGCCCCTGTTGTATTCTGCTTTTGCCATAGCACCACCCCTGGCAGACCCGCATATAATCTCTTCCATCCAAACCCAGCCGGTTGGGTTTTAGACTCTGTCCCGTCCCCCCCCTGCCCTGCCCCTGCTGTGCCTCCGCCCGCCCCATCCCCTCCTCCATTCGCCCCCCCTCCCCCAGGCCCCTCCTCCCCGGGTTCGTCCTCGATACTGTCAACCTCGTTTGCCTCTAAAAGCTCGTTTCCTTCGTGCACGAATTCGTCTCTGTTACGCGCATCGCTATCCAGACCAGTATTTGCAGCCCCAGAACTACCAGCATTGCCACTACTGGCAGTACTGCCACTGGTAACACTACTGCTACCACTAACACCACTGCCACCGCTACTGCCACTATTATTGCTGCCCGTGCCCTCACTCTTGCTCTCCCCTTGCCCCGTCTGTGTGCCATCCGCGCCAGCTGCTGCCACCACTGCCTCTCCACCACCCTCCCCTGCTGCTGCATTCCCAGCACCCGCTGTCTCCAGCATCCGTGTCTGCTTCTCTCCCTGTCCCTCTATAGAGCGACCCGCTTCACCCACTCGTTGCTCCTCCGAGCCGCCTTCACCGATCCCCTCCACTCCTCCTCCACCCCCACCACCAGCAGCGCCGGTGGCAGCAGCAGCAGCACCCAAATCCGTCTGCTCCTCTGGTAAGAAAACTTTCTCGGCTTGACTCTCCCCCCCTTGCTGCTGTTGCTGCTGCTGCGTCTGCTCTCCCTGTGCAGCTAGCCTGGTCTCTCCCTGTCTAGTTCCTTCGTCCCCACTCTTCCCACCGCCGCCTCCTCCAGCATCTCTAGCTCCTCCGCCCCCTCCCCCTCCGCCTTCCCCTCCACCCCCCTCTCCCCGGCTCCGCCCCCGCCCGCGCTGCTCTCACTCCCCCTCACGAACGCCCCCGAGTTAAACTCCTGCTCGAGAGCTGCTTCCATGCTGACATCGTCCGGGTCCATGCTTCTCACGGACTCCACAAAGTCGAGCGGCCCCAGCATGCCGTCTATCAGATGCACCACCAGCTGTCCCTCCAGAATGTCCACCTGGGAATCAAGGGAGCATGCGCGTGAGTGACAGAAAAAAAAAAAAAAAAAAAAAAAAAAAAAAAAAAGGATTGGGCTTCAGAGGGTGATTGAAGTCAAGGGGCCCCAGCATGCCAGCCATCTATCAGATGCACCACTAGCTGACCCTCCATTATATCCACCTACTCATGGAAAGAAAGAGGGGTTGAGGCGGAGGAAAGTGGTGTGAGAGCTTGATCGAGCGGCCCCAGCATGCCGCCTATCAGATGCACCACCAGCTGGCCCTCTAGTACCTGGGCATCGAGAGGGATGGATGGGAGGGAGGAATGATGGTTCACGATGTCATCCAAGTCAAGAGGCTCCCAACATGCCATCTATCGGATGCACCACCACCGCCATCTGACCCTCCAGTAAGCCCACCTGTGAGATGGAGAAAGATGGAGCGATGGTGTAGAAAGGTCAAAAGATGGATGAAAGAGATGCTTCAAGGGGTGGGTGGTCAAACTAAAGCGGCCCCGGCATGCCGTCCTATCATTGATTCGAGCGGCCCCACCCCAGCATGCTGCCGTCCCATCATTGATTCGAGCGGCCCCACCCCAGCATGCCGTCCTTGGTGCACCACCAACCATCTGGCCCTCGGTCTGAACATTGAGGGAGCGCGAGAGAGCGAGGGAGAGGTGAGAGGAGGAATGAAGACAGATGGATGGGTGGGAGGGAGGGAGGAATGAAGATGGATGGATGGGTGGGACGGAGGAATGAAGATGGATGGGTGGGTGGGAGGGAGGAATGAAGATGGGTGGGTGGGAGGGAGGGAGGAGTGAAGATGGGTGGGTGGGAGGGAGGGAGGAATGAAGATGGGTGGGTGGGAGGGAGGGAGGAATGAAGATGGATGGGTGGGAGGGAGGGAGGAATGAAGATGGGTGGGTGGGAGGGAGGGAGGAGTGAAGATGGGTGGGTGGGAGGGAGGGAGGAATAAAGATGGGTGGGTGGGAGGGAGGGAGGAATGAAGATGGGTGGGTGGGAGGGAGGGAGGAATGAAGATGGGTGGGTGGGAGGGAGGGAGGAATGAAGATGGGTGGGTGGGAGGGAGGGAGGAATGAAGATGGGTGGGTGGGAGGGAGGGAGGATGAAGATGGGTGGGTGGGAGGGAGGGAGGAATGATGTTTCAGACATGCACCTCCTGTTCCTTCGCAACTCAACCCATACACCACATTTCTCACCTGCTTGCTCGGCACGCCATTAGCAAAGATCCTTCCACTGCGCGGGTCCCTCCCCGCGTTGATGATAAACCCTGTTATCGACTCCAACCGCTCAAGCCCTTTCTCCCACCTCCCTGCGAATACTACTCGCCCTTGCCTGATGCACATCTTATCCCTCCTGCCAACCAACCCACTCTTCTCACCTGCTTGCTCGGCACGCCATTAGCAAAGATCCTTCCAGTGCGCGGGTCCCTCCCTACGTTGATGATAAACCCTGTTATCGACTCCAACCGCTCAAACGCCCCCAGCGGCACGTCGGCTGCAGGGATGCGGCGCGGCACTGCTGAGTAGCCGACTAACCGACTCAACATGGGGTCGATCTGGGGGAGAGGAGGGGGGGAAAGGGGGAGTGAGTGAGTGGGGGTAAGCGGGTGAGCAAGGGGTTTCGCAGGTACACGTTTGGCTGCTGGGATGCGGCGAGGCACGGCAGAGTAGCCCACTAACCGACTCAACATGGGGTCGATCTGGCAAAGAGGGAGGAGGAGGGGTAAGACGGCAAGCGGGAGAGGTCATAGAGAGAAGGGTAGGGGGGGGAGGGAGGGGGGGGGGTCTCCCAGAGGCACGTCGGCTGCAGGGATGTGGTGAGGCACAGCAGAGTAGGGAAAGGCAAAAGGAAGAGAGTGGGGGGTATGGGGGAGAGAGGAAAAAACACGTCACAACACACGTCACAAGTAAAAATTCTCAAGCCCTCACCATTTCCTTTGTTCTGGGGTACTTGTGAAATGAAGTGCTGATGTCCAATAGGAACTCGTCTGAGGGCGCGAACAGCGTAAATGGCTCGTCACTGCTCAGCATGCTCGCCATGGCGCCTGCAGGCAGCAGAAAGATAAGGATAGGGTTTTTTCTTTCATTAGGCGCCTAGGTGACAGAACTCGCAAAGAGCGGGAATGGCTCGTTGCTGCTCGGCATGCTCGCCATAGCGCCTGCATGGGAGAGAAACGGATTGGTCCGTTTTAGATCACTGTTGACATTGTTCAGGGGCCTAGAAGACAAAAGTCGTCCATGGGGGCGAGGCGAATCGTGTGAAGGGCCCGTCAGTGCTCAGAATACCCGCCATGGCGCCTGCAGGAGAGAGGAGGGAATGGGGTGTTTTTAGTACTACAAATATTGTTTTAGGCGCCTGAAAGACGAAATTCGCCGGTGGGAGTAAATAGAGTGAAGGGCTCGTCGGTGCCCAGCATATCCGCCATGGCGCCTGCAGGAGAGAGGAAGAGAGAAGGGGATGGAGAAGGGGGTTGAGAAGGGGATGGGGGAAGTAAGGGAGAGTGGAGTGGAAGCCAAGGGAGAGTGGAGCCGAATCGCAGCTTGTAAGGCGTCGGCTGGAGCAAACAGATCATTGAAGGGCCCATTGCAGCAGCTCCTCATATCATACTCGCGTTGTCTCCCAGCAGCATAAGAACGAACTGCCACGCCCCGCATTCACCAACCGGTCCCAAAACGTGGCCGCGATTCGCAGCGCTCAGGCAGAGAATATCAGGGCGAGAAAAGAATGTACTAACCTGAAAAAATCTGGAGCTTCCTGCCAGAAGCAGACGCCTGCTCGTTCCCACTTTGGCCTCCACTATTGGTACTCTGGGTGTCTGAATCGGCTATGTGCTGACGTACACTGTCCGGTGCTGTCCCCACCTCCAGCACAGGTGCCGTCTGCTCACTCTTCGGCGACGTGCCTGGTGACGGGGGAGGGGGGGGAGCGGGAGGGGGGGAAGTGTATGTGAAAGGGGGAAAAGGAAGGTGTGAGAGTGGCGTGGGTGTGGGGTGGGGGAGGGGGGATGGCTGAATTGGCTATGTGCTGCCGCACTGTCTGGTGCTGTCCCCACCTCCAGCACTGGTGCTGCCTGCTCGCTCTTAGGCGACGTGCCTGGGGGAGGGGGAGGGGGAGCGGCTTGAAGTGGGAGGTATGCGATGTGGGGGGAACGCAAGGTGGGCCGGAGGGGGGTGGCGGGGAGGAGGGGTATTGAAAATTCCGAGTGAAATTCGCATCCAAGCTGGCGTCTTGAGTGTTTGAATCGGCTATGTGCTGACGCACACTGCTGCTGTCCCCACCTCCAGCACTGGTGCTGCCTGCTCGCTCTTAGGCGACGTGCCTGGGGGAGGGGGAGGGGGAGCGGAAGTGGGAGGTATGCGATGTGGAGGAAACGGAAGGTGGGCCGGAGCGGGGGTGGCGGGGAGGAGGGGTATTGAAAATTCCGAGTGAAATTCGCATCCAAGTTGGCGTCTTGAGTGTTTGAATCGGCTATGCTGACGCTCATTGCTGCTGTCCCCACCTCCAGCACTGGTGCTGCCTGCTCGCTCTTAGGCGACGTGCCTGGTGAAAGGGGGCGGTGACGGGGAGGGGTGAAGGGGAAAGGGAAAGAGGGGAGGAGGGAATAGGGGAGGTGGGAAGTGAGGGAAGGGAAGGGGACGGAAGGGAAGAGGAGGAAGTGGGATCAACTTACCTGAGAGGATGAGGAGGAAGACGAAGAAAAGCATGGTCCCGCAGATGACCATCAAGGTCCATAACCGCTCCGTGGGGCTCGCGGGCTTGCTCCGCCGCTTCACCCGCGGCAACGATCCGTTCACGATCTGCATCGCGATTCGCGACGTTCCTAGGTGCGTGTTGAGACTGTTTTAGAAAACCATCTGCATCGTGACTCTTCTTCGTAACTTCTTAGGTACATCAAAGGACGATCTGCAGCGCAATTTTCCCCTAGGTACCTCTGAACGCAAAACTCGCTACTGTTCCGCGTGTCGTACGCTAGCTCGCGCCCAGTTACACATTATTTTTGGGAGTTAAGGAACACATGTTCAAGAGTAAATGCAACCGGGCTCTGAGAGAGCATGGTCTACGTATGGCAGCTTCCGAGTGCATTATGATCAATTGAGATCAGAAAAGGCAGTCTAGCACTAAAAAGTTTTGCGTTCTCGCTTCGCCCTTCTGCCACATGTCCTCACAGCGATTACGACACGGTAAGAGAGCCACAAGAAAGAAACTGGAGGTTATGGTGTGATGATTTCAAGGGGAGGTGATATCACGACAATCATCCTGTGGGCAGGTTTACATTTTCCCGAGCGGTAATATCGAGGTTGGTGGTGATGGGGATGGCGGGAAAATGTGAATGCGTGCGGCTCCGCTGTTGCGCCCACTTTCTTGATCTGCTGCACCTCGACGGCCGCGCACGCTGTGCGCGCGGAACTTGCGAGGGAGCAGTTGACCATCAAACCAACCAACCGCCAATGCGCCTGGGGGAGTGTGGCGGAGGACTTCCCATAATGAATGGTCGTCGCCTGTAAATCGACGGTCAGACTGGTCCACCTCGCCGTCGAGTTCGCTTGCGATTGGTCGGATTTGACGACAAATCCAACAGCACTCCGAGTGCAAGGAAGCTTCGCCGTTGGTCCTAGCGCACCAACAAAACTCACGTAAATATACACTTAGACGGTGGCATTCACAGTGTAACAATCATTTATGAATTGGGAGATGACTGAGCTAAACAAGGACCTGACCTCCTCTATTAGGAGAGCATTACTGAGAGTACTGAGCGTTTTCTTTTTTGGAAGAGCCCAGAAAGTATTTGGCGACGTGAATGGGACAGCTAAGTGATAAAAAATGCATGTGACGGAATGTTCAAAGCACTCCTAGGGAAAGACTGGATGCCGAAGCTGCCATTTTTGCAGCAGGCGAGCTCAAACTTGGGCATTGCGTTCTGCCACTAGAGCATGGATTCCTTCTGGGTGGTACGGCGCAAAGAGGATGGACGAATTGTGGCCGCCAAAACCAAACGAGTTGGATAGCCCCACATTCACATCCAGGCGTTCCTTAGTGTCACGCACAAAGTAGCGCTCATCCTGGTTGAATATTATCAGGGATAGAGGAGGAGATTGAGGTACCGTACGTTAGAATCAAACTTGAGTCATGGAAAATGATTTCCCACCGGGGCTTGGCAAGTGATGGATCTTTGGATAATAGAAGAGTAAAGCACGGAAACGGTGGGGACAAGAGTACAAGCTTACGAGCTCACACATCAAGAGACAAGTGGTGAAAGAAGCCTGTACGGACGGCCTGGATGGGACAATGACGCCAATTGGGGTGCCCACTTACCAGTCCCTGCTCACATCCTATCCGTTCTGCTCCCCATGCCCTCAGCCACCCCTTACCAGGCTGTCCTTGAGGTTTTCCAGGTTGAGGTTGGGGTGGAGGTCACTTGTGTGAATGGCCTGTATGGGGGGCAATGACGCCAATCGGGGTGGCCCTTAACACTCCCGGCCCTCATCCCACCCATATTCCTCCCATGCCCTCAGCCACCCCTTACCAGTCCATCCTCGAGGTTTTCCAGGTTGAGGTTGGGGTGGAGGTAGCCTGTGTGAATGGCCTGTACAATGGGCAGCAATGGGCGGCAATGGGGGTGGTGGAGGGGAAAGGGCGGGGCATATGGGGACAATGCGTTGGGCAAGAGGTGCATGAAACGCCGGAATCCAGTGCCAGAGGCTGGGGTGGAGGTAGCCTGTGTGTGGATGGCCAATGGACAGGTGTTGGGGAAAACTGGGGGCTATGGTGTGCAATATAGGGGGCAATGGGTGGGGGTTATATGGGTGGGGGTTATATGGGTGGGGGTTATATGGGTGGGGGTTATATGGGTGGGGGCAATGGATGGCAGACAGATGATATGGAGGGCAGGATAATATGGAGGAAATGCGGGGCAATGCACAAAGGGAAAGAGAGGAACACAGAGGGTTGGGAGAAAGAGAGGTGCATGAAGCAGCTGGAATAGAAGGCATCACAAAAGCACCAACTTGAAAGCACACTAAAGCGGAGCGCTAATTGCATTCCGACTATATCACTCCCCTCCACTCCTCCTCCTGAGGCGTCAGAAGAGTACACTAGAAACCTTTGAGCCAGCTCACAAGACATAAACACATAAAACTCACCCCAACAGTCGCAATGGCCTCTACCCCTCCTGCAGCGCCCAGCAGATGGCCGATCATGGACTTGGTGGCGTTCATCTTCAGCTGTGGCGTGTGGGAAGGGGAGAAAGGGGTGGAACGAGCAGAATTAAGGAACGGAAGTGAGGGTGGTCCACTGCAGCGCCCAGCAGATGGCCGATCATGGAATTGGTGGCGTTCATCTTCAGATGCAATGTGTGGGAAGGAAGGGAAGAAACAGGGTGGAAAGCACGGGAATATGGGGTTTGATCGAGGCCGATTCCTGGACCAGGCTACTAGGTTTATCCTATAGCGCCCAGCAGATGGCCGATCATGGAATTGGTGGCGTTCATCTTCAGATGCAATGTGTGGGAAGGAAGGGAAGAAACAGGGTGGAAAGCACGGGAATATGGGGTTTGATCGAGGCCGATTCCTGGACCAGGCTACTAGGTTTATCCTATAGCGCCCAGCAGATGGCCGATCATGGAATTGGTGGCGTTCATCTTCAGATGCAATGTGTGGGAAGGAAGGGAAGAAACAGGGTGGAAAGCACGGGAATATGGGGTTTGATCGAGGCCGATTCCTGGACCAGGCTACTAGGTTTATCCTATAGCGCCCAGCAGATGGCCGATCATGGACTTGGTAGCATTCAATCATCAGCTGCAGTGACGGAGTTGGAGATGAGTAGATTGAGAATAGTGGGTAATTCTTGGGCCAAAACTGCCCTGCGAATCCCAGTAGATGGCCAATTGATCATGAGCTTTGCTGAGTTTGAAGGCCACAGTCATGGTCAATGTCAGGCATGCCTTGCCCTTCACACTGTCGAGTCGATTAAAAGTCATCATGGGCTTGCCGGGTTTGCGGCCACTTGTATGGTCTCGGTCATGCTCGCCTTCCACTTCAGAGCAAAGCCACGTGAAATTAAGATGGCTTATGAGACCCCGCCTCAAGACCAGTCTTATTTCACAGGTTTGCGGCCACATGCACAGTCTTGGTCATGCCCGCCGGCGCCTTCCACTTCAGAGCGAAGCATTCAAAGAAAGCTAGTGCTGATGGGGTGAGGCACCTCAACATGGCTTCACAGGCTGAGATGAAGTTCAACGCAACACAGGGTTGTTGCCGAAAGCAGCCACCAGTGCTTTGTACTCCTGTACGTCACCAGCTAAAGGTCAAACCGGAGCATTAAGATAGCCAGCCCAAGACAGCCATAAAGACTGAGGCAGCGATAAATTCCTTCCTTCTCACCACGGGGTTATTGCCGAAAGCAGCCACGAGTGCCTTGTACTCTTGCACGACCCCTGCCAGAGTGCTTCTGAGATACCTGACTGAAGAGGCCTACAGGCAATCAGATAATGTTCAAACTCACTACGGGGTTGTTCCCAAAAGCAGCCACGAGAGCCTTATACTCTTGCACGTCGCCAGCCAGAGTGCTGGTGGCGTGGGCGTTCACGTAATTCACGTATTCGCGAGGCACTCCTGATGACGCCAGCGCCTGCTCAATGCACATCAGCACGCCCTTGCCTGGGATAAAGGGTGTCGGGAAGGAAATGTGCAGGCGTAGGGAGGGAGAAGGGAAGGGTAGGTGGGAGTTCTGGTGGAGAAAGCATTGGAGCAGTTTTCCAAAGCCTGCTCGACAGTGAGAGGTAATATGTCTTGAAACGTCTTGTTTTTACAGTCTCACCTTGAGGGTGTGGGTCGGTCATATGATACGCATCGCATGACACACTGCCGCCCAGAAACTCGGCGTAGATGGTGGCGCCTCGGGCCTTGGGAGGGACGAGGTGCAGAGGGGTGAAGAAGGATGAAGAGGCAGTGGGAGAGGCCAGACGGGGAAGGAGAGAGATGCAGATGGGTAAAGTGGTACAATACCACTGGGTTGGCTGGCAGAGAAAGAGAAACAAGGATGAAGCACGTGAGTTAAGCAAAATGGTTGCAGCACACACACACACCCGCACACCCACACACAAACACACCTGCAGATCCACACACCCGCAAACCCACACACTTGCACACCCACACAACCGCGCACACACACACAACTGCACACCCACACACCCGCACACTCACACACCTACACACCCACACACCCATACACCCATACACCCGCGCACGCACGCACACACACACACACACACACACACACCCACACACACACAACCCCCCCCCCCCACACACACACACACCCACATCCACACACACACCCACAAACACACACAAACCCACACACACACCCACCCACACCCACACACACAACTTGGCGTGCTCCAGCTCCTCCAGCACCAACACACCCGCTCCTTCGTCCATCACACGAGTGCAACCAACCAACAGCAGAGCACAGCATAGAGTGCAGCACACATGCACGCACACGCGCGCACCTGCGCGCGCACACACACCCACCCACCTTGGCGTGCTCCAGCTCCTCCAGCACCAACACACCCGCTCCTTCGTCCATCACACGAGTGCAACCAACCAACAGCAGAGCACAGCATAGAGTGCAGCACACATGCACGCACACGCGCGCACCTGCGCGCGCACACACACCCACCCACCTTGGCGTGCTCCAGCTCCTCCAGCACCAACACACCCGCTCCCTCGCCCATCACAAAGCCATCACGATTCTGCGAGAGAAAGAGGGAGAGAAGGCGAGAGGAGGGGAGAGGGGGAATGCACTGCATCTCCTTGTCCCAGGGGCGGGAGGGAGCCTGCATGCTGCAGTGAACTGGTGCGGGGGGGGGGGAAGAGAGGAAGAGAGGGGGGGTGGGGGGGGGGGGCCTGCCAAGGAATGCACTGACTGACAGACCTTGTCGATAAGAAATCACTGATTGACCTTATCCCAGGGGCGGGAGGCCCTCTCCAACTCATTATTGAGAGGTCTCAAAAGTCACGTGCATCGACTTGATTACAAAACACACTTACCTTGTCCCAGGGGCGGGAGGCCCTCTCAGGCTCGTCGTTGCGTTTAGAGAGTGCCTTGCAGGCCACGAATCCACCCAACCCTGGAAACGGGGTGAGAGGAGGAAAGAGAGCGGTGGAAAGGGAGAGAGGAGGGAAGAGAGCGCGGGAAAAGGAGAGAGGAGGGAAGAGAGCGCGGGAAAAGGAGAGAGGAGGAAAGAGACGACAGCGGGAAGATGGGAAGGGTGGAGTTGAGGAAGCGAGAGAAAGAGATGGAAACGAGCAGCTTAAGAATAAGTTTCGGTACCAACAAGATGCTGGTTGAAGGGATAGTAAGATGAAGGAAGGAGGGGGAGGATGGAAGAGGGAGGAGGAAGATGGCAGAAGGGGAGGAAGAAAAGGAAGGGGGTGGGGATGGAGAAGGGATGCATGGATGGAAAGGCTTGGGCCTTACCAAGGGGCAAGACGGGGGCACTTGACTGTTTAGATTTGAGGTGCCTCAAAAACCGCGTTTGAGGAGTCTAGTTTTGAGGCGCCTCGAAACAAGGCTTGGGCCTTACCAAGGGGCAAGACGGGGGCACTTGATTGCTTAGGCACTTGAGGCAAAAAGCAAAGAGAGGTGAGGTGGAAGGCGAAAGGGGTGAGGTTGAAGAAGAGGAGCGTGGAAACTTGGAAAGGCAGGGGCTTTACCGAGAGGCAAGACGGGGGCGTCGGATCCTCCTGACAGCATGACGTCCTGTGGTTCAGAAGGGGCGGGACCAGATGGGAGTCCAGGGAATTGTGATTAAATGAAGTGTACTACAAAACACCAGTCCTAGGAAGGTTCGCTGGCGAAGATGCATGCAAACAACACTGCCGCCGCCTGCAGGGAACGAGAGACAACGTCAGTTGATAACACTCAAGGGCCTGTAACAGAGCTTACCGCGTCGCCTCTCTGAATGTGCTGGGCGGCAGCGAGAATGCAGTAGTTGGCAGTGGCGCAGGCAGTGGAGATGCTGTAGTTGGGACCCATCCAGCCCTGACGGGAGGAGGGCAGAAGGGAAAGGGAGGCGCAGATAGACACGGAGGGATAGAGAGTGGTTCAGAAGAATGCAGTAGTTGGCAGTGGCGCAGGCAGCGGAGAAGCTGTAGTTGGGACCCATCCAGCCCTGATGCGATGGGAGGAGCGGAAACGGGGAAGGGATGGACGAAAAGAGCAAGGAGACAGACAGAGGGTCAGAAGAATGCGCAGTGGCGCAGGCAGCGGAGATGCTGTAGTTGGGACCCATCCAGACCAGACGGGAGGAGGGGGAATGTGTGATGACGAACAGGGGGGAGGGGATAGTTTGAGCTACCCCCCTGTTCCCGCACACACCAGGGCCCTGGTGTGTGCGACGATGTGTGATGACGATGATACCTTGCATCATCGCACACACCAGGGCCTGGGCCGTACCGCTGTTTACAAGTACAGGTCCTGGGCCTGTACCTTGCATCATCGCACACACCAGGGCCTGGGCCGTACCGCTGCTTACAGGTACAGGTCCTGGGCCTGTACCTTGCATCATCGCACACACCAGGGCCTGGGCCGTACCGCTGCTTCCACACGTACAGGTCCATGGCGAGCATGGCAGAGCAGAGAGCCCATGTTGATGCGTGACGAAGGGCATGCAGAAGGGGTTCATGGCATTGCCAAAATGACATGGTGTTGCCAAAATGACATGGTGTTGCCAAAATGACATGGTGTTGCCAAAATGACAGGGTGTTGCCAAAATGACATGGTGTTGCCAAAATGACATGGTGTTGCCAAAATGACATGGTGTTGCCAAAATGACATGGTGTTGCCAAAATGACATGGTGTTGCCAAAATGACATGGTGTTGCCAAAATGACATGGTGTTGCCAAAATGACATGGTGCATACCATGGCCATTCCATACCACTGTGAGCACGTACCAGGTCCATGGCGAGCATGGCGGAGCCCATGTTGATGGTGACCAAGGGAATGCCCATGTGAGAAGGCAAGGCAGCACTGTGCAGGTATGGTTCATAGCCTTTGTGCCTGTCAGTCAGCCCTACCAGCACAGCATGGGGCCACGCCACGTACCAGGTCCATGGCGAGCATGGCGCCGCCCATGTTGGTGGTGACGAAGGGTATGCAGAAGGGGTTCATGCGGCGGTACGACACCTTGAGCGCCTCCACCGCGTCGTTGAACACCTGAGGGGCGGGGGAGGAGGGAGGAGGGGGCAGTTGGAGAGAGGGGAGAATTGAAGGGGGAGGCAGCGGGGGGTGATGGTGAGAAGGGGTTCATGCGGCGGTACGACACCTTGAGCGCCTCCACCGCGTCGTTGAACACCTGAGGGGCGGGGGAGGAGGGAGGAGGGGGCAGTTGGAGAGAGGGGAGAATTGAAGGGGAGGCAGCGGGGGGTGATGGTGAGAAGGGGTTCATGCGGCGGTACGACACCTTGAGCGCCTCCACCGCGTCGTTGAACACCTGAGGGGCGGGGGAGGAGGGAGGAGGGGCAGTTGGAGAGAGGGGAGAATTGAAGGGGGAGGCAGCGGGGGGTGATGGTGAGAAGGGGTTCATGCGGCGGTACGACACCTTGAGCGCCTCCACCGCGTCGTTGAACACCTGAGGGGCGGGGGAGGAGGGAGGAGGGGGCAGTTGGAGAGAGGGGAGAATTGAAGGGGGGGGAGGCAGCGGGGGGTGATGGTGAGAAGGGGTTCATGCGGCGGTACGACACCTTGAGCGCCTCCACCGCGTCGTTGACCTGAGGGGCGCGTCGTTGAACACCTGAGGGGCGGGGGAGGAGGGAGGAGGGGGCAGTTGGAGAGAGGGGACAGTTGAAGGGGGAGGCAGAAGAGGGGAAGATGAGACGGGGAGGATGACAGATAGTTAAAGGGAAGGGAGGGGGTGTGGAGGGAGGGGAGAGGGGGCACACGAAGAGGTTCATGCGGTGGTACAACACCTTGATCGCCCCCGCTGCATCGTTGAACACCTGAGAACGGAGGGGGGTCGCAGGGAGGGCGGGGGGGCGGGGGCGGGGGTGGTGGGGGGTTGGGGTGGGGTGTGGGTGGTGGGGGTGGGGGGGAGCTGCAAGGAAGGAGTGGAGGGAGGGGTAAGGTACACAAGAACAGTTCATGAGGGGGAGTGCGACAAATGAAGGAGTGCGACACCTTGAGGAGCGCCTCCACCACATTGGTGGAAACGTGATGAACTAAGAGGAGCAACAAGAAAGTGAACTCAAGATTGTTTTCCGAGATTGCACATCTCAAAACATCCACTGCAGCATTACAGAGCACCTGGCAGTCCGTTTCCTACCTTGACTGTCACAGTCTGCTGCCCACCGTAACAGTCTGCCGCCCAGCTCACTCACCTGCATGCCGCCCAGCTCACTCACCTGCATGCCGCCCAGCTCACTCACCTGCATGCCGCCCAGCTCACTCACCTGCATGCCGCCCAGCTCACTCACCTGCATGCCGCCCAGCTCACTCACCTGCATGCCGCCAAGCTCACTCACCTGCATGCGCCGCCAGCTCACTCACCTGCATGCCGCCCAGCTCACTCACCTGCATGCCGCCCAGCTCACTCACCTGCATGCCGCCCAGCTCACTCACCTGCATGCCCAAGCTCACTCACCTGCATGCCGCCCAGCTCACTCACCTGCATGCCGCCCAGCTCACTCACCTGCATGCCGCCCAGCTCACTCACCTGCATGCCGCCCAGCTCACTCACCTGCATGCCGCCCAGCTCTCTCACCTGCATGCCGCCCAGCTCACTCACCTGCATGCCGCCCATGGCGGAGCCAATGAGCACGCCGCACTTCGTGTTGAACCCCTCCTGCACCTCGTGGGTCATGTGCGTCGTTTTAGAGCCCGCTTGCCGCCGTGAGCAGGTAGCGCATGTACTTGTCCATGCGCCGCGCCATCTTGGGGTGCACGTACCCCTTGTCCTTGAACTCCTTGATCTCGCCCGCAATGCGCTGTGAGAGGGGAAAGAGGTGGGTAAGGAGGAGGGTGCATGTGGGTGAGAGGAGGAGGGATGAGATGAGGGCCCATCTTGGGGTGCACACGTACCCCTTGTCCTTGAACTCCTTGATCTCGCCCGCAATGCGCTGTATGGATGGGAATGGAGGAAAGAGGAGGGGGGAAAGGAGGGCTTGCAAGCCATCTTGTGCAGGATGGATGGGAGGGGAAGGGGGAGTAGTGAAGGCTCTTTCCTATGTGAGTATAAACAGATTCCATCGGTTTCCTTTCCTCTTGGTTCTTCTGTTCTTCCTGCTGCGTCTGTTCCATCTCAGGCTGTCGACCAAGTCGTTATCTATACCAATCAAACCAACTCTTACTGTGGGGAACTCAGAGGCATCGAATCCCTCTATAGCGGAGATGCCACTGGTGCCGTCCAGCAGCTTCTGATAAACTCTGTGCGCGTTCATGCTCAGGCACGACACGATGCCCATGCCCGTCACCACCACCCGCCGCTGCTGCTTCCCCTTCCCCTCACCCTCCGCGCTCTCTCCCCCCGCCTGCGCTTCCGCCTCTGCTGCTGCTGCAACCCGCGCCACGCGGGAGGCTGGCGGGGGCAGCGCGGAAGGACAGGCGGAAAAGAAAGCCGCGGAAGCAGAAGAGGGATACGGGAGAAGGGGGATGTGGGGGTGTGGGGTGTGGGGATGAGGAGGGGGAGGGCGGAAACGGGGGATATGCTTCTCGCAGGTCGGCGGAATATGGAACGTTGAAGATGGGGAGGAATAGCGGAAGGCCAAACGAGATTTATGGCGAAAGAGGGAAGGACGGGAAGAAGGTAAACACGATTGACGAATAGATTGGCACCTTGATTGAACTATGGAGGGTTTATTCGCCAGACCGAGACACGCGGGGAGGCTACGCGAATCGCACATAGCAGGCCCTCCCGTCACTGACATTTGCCCTTTCTTTTGCTGGTGGTAAACACCTCCCGTTGTGTCAAAACAGTATGTATAGGCGGTAAGTGCTCGGAATCCGTCTCGGACTGTCCCCCAGCTGCTCCAGATGCAGCCGAGCTATTTCACCGCGGATCTATCACGCTGGAAACCCGCAGATGTAGCGTACCAGCACCTGTTACGTATCACCTGAACGTACCGGCACATGTAACGGATTCGCAGATGTAGCGTACCATCCGATCGGCATCCAGCGGATGTGGCGTATCGATAGACACAACTTGCCAGCTTCTTCAATCAGTCTTACTCTCTACTAGCTGGATTTTCAGTAGTATTTGCCGCAAACACAGCCGGAAGCACCGGTAGCGACGGGCTTAGCACTAGCGCTAAGTTCCCCGTGGCGGATCACCGTAAACGCCAGCGTTCAAATCCAGCTGGCGGACAAAATGGTCAGTCCCGATGGTTTGAGGCTCCGTATCGCAATCTCTCGCCATTCCCAAGGAGCCATATATAAACGAAATCAGAACAGAGAACTTGCAGAAAAGCTACACAGAGTCTATCGCACACGCACCTGCTGATCGCAGGCGACGGTTTCGCACGGCCGTCAACGGCACCCAGACGACGTCGAGACCTTCGCCGGAGAAGGTCGACGAACCGCTACTCAACGACCCATGACTGCTGGTCGACCTGTGAGAGCTGCTCGGTCTAACTGCAAGCGATCGCGGTCCAGATGTGCATCGGGGTGTCACGCTGTTGATCCCATGAAGGGTCGCTCGACCTGCCGACAGAATGGGATTGCGGTTGCGATGGGAGCTGGAGGTGTTGGGTGCGATGGAGGAGATGGGCGTGCTTCCTGCGCTGCTCGTTGCAGCACCGGATTTTCTGCTGGGAGAGCTAACTGAGTGGTCTGATGATTCTGTGTGACCGGCTCGGCCAGCCCAGGCAACGGACGACGGAACGCAAGCCGTGGCGGCGAACGCCATTGGAGAAGCTAGGCTTGACGGCCTTGGGAATCTACCCAATCTTGAGTCGAGTTAGAGGTCACTTGGGGATATGGGCCCTAAGCAAGCACTACGAGCCCTGCGAAATTGCGACGCTTATGCGGGCCTATGATGGCTTTCGCGACTGTTTCGCTTATCCCAGCGACACTAAGACGAGGTGCTTGAAAGCAAGCTTACCCCGAGCAAGGTTTCTTAACTCGTGGATTCAGAAAGGCTAGCTACGCACGGGCTAATCAGCATCCGTGAAAACAGCTGAGATGCTGGCCCAGTGAAGGCTACCTGTCAGAAGACCAGAGGGATTTCAGGATTCAGCAGACAGCCATGATCAGTCGTCTATGCGTTGGCACAAAAACTGATCACCAAAATGGAGAATGGTCGAGGATCAGGACAACAGACACAAAAACGAGGGGGCGAAGAAAAGGGGTGATTCAGTTCGGAAATTTCTATGGTTGAGGTGACAATATCGCGGCTGTCGTCGGTTATCCCAAGGGTGAATGGAGGTCGCTGGTGAGCAAATCAGCTTTGTGGAGGAATTCAGGGAAGGGGGAGGGAGGATATCTACGGATGATGGAGCTCAAATCTGGAAAATTGGAAAATGAACCGTCAGATGTAGAGCTTGCAGACACGCGGAAACGAAAGTAGAAAGAACGATAACTGTGAGGCTGTTAGAAGCGGATCTGATGTCAGCGACACGTGTACGATAGCTATCCTTGCCACAGCAGCAAAACACGTTCTCACTGTTCGCTAGGTGTTCATGATGTCCCCTCCATCATTCAGGTATACATTTCTGCTTCTTTTTCCACCACTACACACGCTATATACTTTTGAGAGTAAACGCCTCATAACAATATGTGAACATATCCCACTCTAGTTTTCAAGTCCTACAATTGTTGCAAGTTGCACACAATAAAACAATATTTCACATATTCTCTACACCCAAGACTTAAACATACGGTACATGGGGGGGGGGGGGGGGGGGGGGGGGGGGGGGGGATGTTAGAATAGTAGCTAGAGAGAGCCTTAGGGTTTGGTGGGAGAGAGTGTTGGCCAAGCAAAGAAAAAGGAGTTCACTATAGGCTCGAGGGTACAAATAGGAGACAAAGGAGGTGCACCACCAATACAAAGAGTTTATAACTACACTAAAGCTACAGCTACAGGCAGGTACATAAATATATATAAATATATATTCTAACACTCCCCCATAACTGCCTGCAGCAGGAGCTTGTGCAGCAACAACTCCTGGATGGGTACACCCCGAACAGAGAAAAAAGAAAACAGCAACAGGAGGCAAGTGCAATGACAACCAGTGCAGTGGTGGCAGAGACAGCTGCAGCAAGCCCTGAGGCAAGAAAGAGAGAACGAAGACGATGTGCTGTGGCGCGCTTAGTTTGCAGCTCAACAGCAAAGAAGACGAACGAAGACGATGTGCTGTGGCGCGCTTAGTTTGCAGCTCAACAGCAAAGAAGACGAACGAAGAGAGAGAAGCGTCAGGGGCTGCAGAAGTAGGTGCCACATAGCAGTGGACGGCAGCTGCAGATGCGTGGCTACTGGTTCCACCACTCTCTCTTACCCTCCCTTAGCATCTCTCCCCCCCCCCCCCTCTCTCCCCGACAGCAACAAGTGCTGCAGGGGAGAGAGAGTAAGGGAAGGAGAGTGGGGGAGGGACGAGCTACTGGTGGTTCACACCCTCCGCCCCCAGAACTCCCGTCCCCCCCCCCCACGGCGGGAGCCGCGGAAGGGAAGGGCGGGGGGGGGGGGGGGGGGGGGGGGGGGGGGGCGGCATACGGAGCTGCCGGCGTCCCCTGCTGGCGCAAGCGCTGGCGTGCGCGGATGGCGCAGGCGCTGGCGCCTCGCGGCTGGCGCAGCGCTGGCGCTTCGCGGCTTGCGCACGCGCTGGCGCTGCGTTCCGCACTGGCGCTGGCCGCGAAGTGCTGGCGCAGGTGCGGGCGTTGGCGCGGACGACGGGCAGGGCGACGCGGGCAGAGTAGGGCGCATCGGGGCGCGACGAACTGGAGGCGCACGGGGCGCGACGAACAGGCAGAGCAGGGCGCAGCGGGGCGCGACGAACGGGAGGGCGCACGGGGCGCGACTCGGGTGACCCGCGGGGCGCCGAAACGTGGGGCCGCGGGCGACGGGAAGGAGGGCGCACGGGGCGCGACGAGTATGCCTTCGGAGCGCGAATCGAGTGGGGCCTGCAGAGAGCGAAACGCGGGACCCATGATCCTAAAAAAAAATAGGTCCTTAGGACCGATTATTGCTCTGATACCATGTTAGAATAGTAGCTAGAGAGAGCCTTAGGGTTTGGTGGGAGAGAGTGTTGGCCAAGCAAAGAAAAAGGAGTTCACTATAGGCTCGAGGGTACAAATAGGAGACAAAGGAGGTGCACCACCAATACAAAGAGTTTATAACTACACTAAAGCTACAGCTACAGGCAGGTACATAAATATATAAAATATATATTCTAACAGGGGAATATGATGATGAAAGCATGATGATGACTATCTCGCTAGAGGCAACAGCTTGTATAGAGCGGAAAGCAGCATGGAAGGGAAACTATATAAAATAATACCGGTAATATATCCTGATGTCAAATGTTGTAGCCTATAGTGAGGTTTGTCTTAGGGGGTACAAAACTTAGGGTTAGCTATATGTACCCCAACCAACATCAATGGATCATTCATTCCTCATTCTGACATGGTATCAGTTAGGTTAGGATCCTGTGGGATCCCGTTTCTGGGAATATGATGAAAGCATGATGATGACTATCTCGCTAGAGGCAACAGCTTGTATAGAGCGGGAAAGCAGCATGGAAACTATATAAAACATAATACCGGTAATATATCCTGATGTCAAATGTTGTAGCCTATAGTGAGGTTTGTCTTAGGGGGTACAAAACTTAGGGTTAGCTATATGTACCCCAACCAACATCAATGGATCATTCATTCCTCATTCTGACATGGTATCAGTTAGGTTAGGATCCTGTGGGATCCCGTTTCTCCGTTCTCCGATCGTACCACCCGAGCCTGATCCTAGCTCTCGTTTCGCCCGTCTTGCCCGAGCCTAGTGCCGGCCCGATCTAGTCCCGTTCGTTCGTTCCCCGCTGCCGTCGACCCGCCGCCCCCCCCCCCCCCCCCCCCCCCCCCCCCCCCCCCCCCCCCCCCCCCCCCCCCCCCCCCCCCCCCGCTGCCCGTCGAACCGCGCTCCCCCTAGCCGCTGCCCGTCGACCCGCGCTTCCCCCCGCTGCCCGTCGACCCGCGCTTCCCCCCGCTGCCCGTCGACCCGCGCTTCCCCCCGCTGCCCGTCGACCCGCGCTTCCCCCCGCTGCCCGTCGACCCGCGCTTCCCCCCGCTGCCCGTCGACCCGCGCTTCCCCCCGCTGCCCGTCGACCCGCGCTTCCCCCCGCTGCCCGTCGACCCGCGCTTCCCCCCGCTGCCCGTCGACCCGCGCTTCCCCCCGCCGCCCGTCGACCCGCGCTTCCCCCGCCGCCCGTCGATCCGTCGCCCTGGCCCGCGCCCCAGCCCGTCTCCCCAGCTCGCGCCCTAG